AACATATGGGTGGTGCGGGAAGATGTAGGAGAGACCACCAGCATCAGTACCACCACCGAGTTTCAAACACGTCTCCTTGAACTTCAAACTCGCAGAATCTGATCTTACCTTCGTTTTACTTTTAGTTTACCACCAATTATATTCACCAATTATATTAAGCGCCCAATTATTTTCCACGTGTAAAGTTAATCCTGGAATAAAAGAAGTTAGTTCCTACCTACAAGAAAACCATGCACATCTCAATTCCTCATTCATAGCATGCTAACATTTCCCCTCTCCACTTTGCACTGGGCCATCCTTCCAATGTAATTTCCCATTGGCATGTGACCTACTCAGTATGTGTGTAATCTTCCGTGGTCACCCCTCAAACCTACTGGATGGATGAGGAAAACTAAGCCACACAGGTGGCAGAGCACAGGGAGGTGTATGCACTCCTTTATCCAACTTCTATTACAGATATTACAGTCATCCCTAACTCTAGCAGATCTCGGAATAGACTCTTCAAAGGCAGCACGCACCTGGTACCCAACAAAGACTGAAGGACTTCTTGACGAATGTAATACATGTACCTGAGGTGCTTTAGCCAGGGCTCTAGCGTGCCCAGACTCTGTGCTACGACTATATAAGCCAGCGCCTAGCGCACAGCAGTTAAGTACGTCTGTTTGCTGCTTTAAAGTTTAGGGGAACCTGTGCAACGAGGATGTGCCAAGTGCCAAAACGCGGAGCCAGGAGGCCAGAGCGCCACAGCCTGGCGGTGCTGCTGTTAGTCTGAGACCGCGATGATGCAGTTCGGAGGAGTCCAATGGGATGAGGGACAGGGGGCACTTCCTGCAGACGGAGCGGGGCACTTCCTGTAGATGGAGCTGGAGCCCCAGAGTCAACTTCCGGCTGCCGCTGTGCACTTCAGGGAGCGTGGTCCCAGGCTCTGATTCTCTGGTGGAGTTGGCTGGGCACCAGCCTCTACTGGTGGTTCCGAATCCCAACCACGTGTGCATTTCACAAACCATTTCAACCAAAATCCTGTGGGATGTACCTGAGGGAGAGCGCTTCCTTGACTTACTGACTGGGTTCAGTTCCCAACAACTAGAGAGGAAGAGTTTCTTCCCTAGACTGACTGACACCCGTAAAGACAAAGCTGAGCTACCCTTACCCGGCCTTGTGCGGAGAGCCACAAGAGTACAAAGGCACAAAGCCGCAAGGTGAGGAAGTATACAGATTTTATATGCGTGACAAGCCGCAGGTAGCATGAATTCAAGAATTAACCATATTTATTAACACGTATTTATTTTCTGTGTGTATGTTCGCAGATGGGTAGTTTGGAGGTCAGAGGACAACCTCACATTTTGTTATGTAGGTCCTAGGGATTGAACTCAGGTTGTCAGACTTGGCCGCAAGTGGCCTTACTCAAGGACCCATCTCCACAGTCTCCCTGTTTAATAAATTCTCAGAACAATCTTTGAAACATTTTGTTCAGAGAGTATATTAGCATTTGAAGCACTTACGGAAACCACAATCTAATTTTGCACTTTAGTTTTTTTTTCTGCTAGGGTAGCCTGGAATTTCTTCCATAGCGGCTTTAAAAAAAGAGTCTGTATGCGTGCTCATGAGCACGCACAGGTGCGTGTGGGTGTGCCGGCCAGAGGTATTCTTCACATTGATATTTAGACAAGATCTCTCACTGAATCTGGAGCTCACTGTTGCAGTTTCACTGGGTGGCCAGCAAGCTCCAGGGATCCCCACACCTCCAAGGGTATTATAGTCGTGCACTAACTACCACCTTTACCATTTACACGAGTCCTGGGAATCTGAACTCAGGTTCAAATGCTTGTGTCAGGCATTTTACCAGGTGAGCCTCTCCCAGCCCCATATGACTAATTTATAGACATCCCAACAATAGTACTTCATTGTATAGGTTACAATATATACTGACTATATCCTCATTAATATAGACTTAGGCTGTATTCTTTATAAGCAATGTTATGGGAAACACAATTCAAAATCTTTACATTCTTTTTAAAGCTTTAATTTTATTCAAAAATTCCTTTGAAACTTTATAACTCTTTACAGACTGTTTATAGTACTGTCAATATCAATATTTTCATAGTATTCTCTTTATACTATCAATAATTAAATTATGTTTTTACATTGTTTTAAATATATTTGTTGGGTAAATACAGCACACAGAAACTGACAAAAAGTAATGTACAATTAAAATTTTGATAGTTCTCTAACTTTTAAAGGCCATGCTGTTTAGGAGTAAAAGGAAATGTTAATAGAAAAGCCAAAAGAAAAGATCATCACTTTCACACAACCAGTGATAAATGGTTAATGAGCATGTAAAAAGATGTTCAACAGTAAAGTTTAAAGGAAGTTCTTAAATAGGCTCTATTTACTTAAGGACAGCTAGCTTTCTTCTGAGGTTTAGGAAATACAAAAGTGTTATAGATACTTACATGCAGGTTTTTGCATGGACACAAGAGGCAAACATCAAGGAGATTCATCAGATTCTAAGACTTTTATCTTGGGAGTGCTGGGGCCTAACCCAGCCCATGCACATGCTGTGCAAATGCTTGACCACTGAGATATATCTTTAGTGCTTGTGTTTTGAGATAGGGTCTTAATATGTAGCTCAGGCTGAGTTTGAACTTGTGGTCCCCCTGCTTCAGTCTTCTATGCAACACAATGCCAACTTCAAGGTTGTTTTTTGGTTGTACAGCATTACTATTATTGTAGGGCTGGAGAGATGACTTAACAGAACATACTACTCTTACAGAAGGCCAGAGTTCAATTCCCAGCACCCACACTGTGCAGTTCATTGCCTGTAACTCTAGCTCCCAGGGAGATCTAACAACTCTGGCCTACATGGACCGACCCCTCCCCTAACATAACTTAAAAGACATGTATCTATAAAATTACTAAACAAACAAAAAACAACACAAATTTTTATCATAATTCTAAGTGCATGATAGTATACACCTTTATTCCCAGCATGGGGGCAAGAGCTGAGGCAGAAGATAAGCTAATTACGAATTTATAAAGATATGACATAGACAGCTACTGTCTCCTCTCCTATTTGCTTATATTCTGCTTGCAGTGGAAAAGCCATATAACTGCATCTTCTATATATAGGAAAACTGAGTGGATGGTGATACCCAATCTTCTATTATACTCTGTATCTGGATATTAAAGGCAGGATACTACCCAAAGAGAAATGCCTGTCATCATGTAGAAAGCCTGGAACAAATATCTAAGTAATTCAGAATACATAGGGCTTCAAATTTTACATTTTTTCATTAAGAATGAGATATCCTATCTATATGCTTCCTTATTAAACTGAAAAGAATCTGTTTTAAATTTTAACATGAAGCTGTTTAGGTACTGACCTCAGTATATAGCCCTCAAATTATTTGGGAAAAGTATCCATGACATCAACTTAAGCTTGTTTGTAAAGGCTGAAGAAAAAAAATAGGTTTAGCTTTGCATGGTTTTCAGTATTTCAAAGCACTACATTTACTTCTCTTACACATTGGTTTCCCTACAGAAAATGGTATCGTTGCTTCTAGTCGGCTTCCTCAGTCAGACAGGCCAAGGACTGCTAGGTGTAATTCTGACATCTATCTCCCCCTTTATCCCTTTAGCTCTGCACAAAACAAGAACCTCTCCTGCTTCCTTTTAGTTTTGGCCTAAGATACACATGCTAAGTAAATTTGGGGAAAGCCGCTCACAGGGGGCTTACTGAGTCAAGAAGAACCTCTTTTTAACCTTCTTTTGTCCACACTTTGCATGTGATAGTTATAACTTCAGCAGTCATATGGCCTTAAAAACTGACAGCATGGGCTATGATGATGGAGCCCAAAGGCCAGAGATTCAGACTGTAGGGATAGCATGCATCATCTTTGACTCCAGCCTTTTCTATTGAACAAGAAAAGTATTTGTAAACCAAGTGGAGCAAAACCAAGTTGTAATCACTACAAGGGTCCATCTATTTTCCCAGAACGGCATGACTTAAGAAGCCTTTTTCTCGGAGAACTATAACCTGTGCTATTCCCAACCCAGAAGCAATGTCTACCATTCTGGTAATGTGCCTGGAAAGACTCCTCCAAGCTTACTTTTCATCACTAGCATCAATATGACAAAATGACCACAATCATCTTGCCAACCTAATTTTAACGGGCAAAATTATTTCAAAATAAATATCATTTAAAGTTAGCATCATTGGCATCAAAGGGAAAAAGTCATTTTCCCCAAGGGACATTCATTAAAAAGTGTTTTTCAAGCAGTCACTGTAATGGCCTAGAGTTGCCACATAAGAAAGCTGCTGCTTAGATTCAACACAGGACATTCAAATGACTCATAATGAGTCTTATGCATAGTTTAAGGAAAACTTTGATTTATAACTTAAACAATGTTGATACTGTGGTTCAAACAGGTAGGAAATGTAAAAAGACACGAGCTAATTCATGAGGGGCAGACTCCATAGTTAAACAGCAAAAAAAAATTCTGAATACACTTTCTGAAGTGTTATCACTGATAGTTCATGGGTAAAGTGGGTATAAGGCCACCATGTGGGTGAAACCAACAGAGAAAATGTTTAGCTAACCAATGTTAAGACTTTTGAGAATGTGTATTTCCAAGCAGTATCAGATTTATCTTGGGCTTAATTTTTAAAAACTTGTGTATGTGTGAACATATGTGGATCATTTGTGTACGTGAGTCTGAGGAGGCCAGTACAGGGTATCAGATCCCCAGGAACTGGAGTTACAGATGGTTGTGGACTGCTATGTAGGTGCTAGGAACTGAAAATGGATGGATCCTCTAAAAGAGCAGAGTGTTAACTGCTGAGTCTTTACTCAAGCCCCTTGGGATTTTCTTTTTCATGTGTGTGTGTGTGTGTGTGTGTGTGTGTGATGTTTGCATGTGTGGGTATTTATGTATATGGGTGCATGTGCACTTAAATCAACATTAGGAGTCTTCCTTGATCATTACACCAACTGCTTTCCAAATCCAAAGTTTGTTGATACAACTAGTCTGGCTAGTATTGCTCTAAAAATCCCATTTCTGCCTCCTGAGGGGTGGACCACAGGTGGGCCACTATACCCGTTTGACTTCTACATGGGAGCTGGGGATTCAAAACATTGTTCTTACACTTGCATAGCAATTGGTTTAACCACTGGGCCATTTCCTCAGCCCTCTTATTTGATAAGAGTCTTTTGCTTTAGTACTTGCAAATATATCAGTTTGCTCATTCTCTATAAATCTGTAGGCACTTGACTTGTTGATTTAAAAGATTTCATTCATACAGAAGGCTATTACTTAGAGATAAATAATCTTGTACTTAATCACATTAAAAGCTTTGAGATGTCCTGTAGTGAAGAACTGTTTAACTCCAATCCCACAATCTAAAGTGAAATTATTATTGTCTAATTATGGCTTTAAGTAAAATAAAGGAGAGGGAAGCAATGGAGGCAAACAGCTTCCAATTTGGCCTCCAAGAATTCTGATGCCATGGTGACTTTTTACAAAGCACTGTTTGCTTGTCAAATAACTTTCTGATATCAGAGAAGCTCATCAAGCCACTTTGTTTTTGTGGTGATGTCTCTGATGCTGAAAGAGACCTGACTTCTGCCTGAAAGCTTCTTTGCATTCACTACACTGGTAGGGTTTTTCTTCATTGTGGATTCTGACATGCTGATCGAGGTGTGAGTTTAAGCGGAAGGCTTTCTGACATACTTTACATTTGAAAGGTTTTTCTCCAGTGTGAATCCTGTGATGTCGAATAAGGTCTGAAGTCAAACTGAAGGCTTTCCCACACTCATTACAATAATGCCTTTTGAAGCGACCATGGATTTTCTGATGGTGGGAGAGGAGTAGGGCCTTACTAAAGACTTTTCCACAATCCTTGCATTTACAGGGCTCCTCCTGATTGTGAGTTTTTGGTGTCGATTAAGATGAGAGCTTCGCCTAAAGTTCTTTCCACAATAGATACACAGAAAGGGTTTTTCTCCAGTATGGATTCTGAGATGCTCCAAAAGACCTGCATTCTGGCTAAAGACTTTTCCACACTCTTTGCACTTGTAAGGCTTCTCACCAAGATGGATTTTCTGATGTCTGACGAGGTGTGAACTCCTCTGAAAGACTTTCCCGCACTCGTGGCAGAGGTGACCTTTTTCTCTAGAGAGGACTTCTGGATGTTCAGTAGGAGTAGAACTCTGACACACTACAGATTCACAAGACTTTTCTCCTGCATGTGCCCTTTCATGTTCAGTCATGTCTGAGTGCTGGACAAGTCCCTCCTTAGTTTCCAAGCATTGGCTGCTAGCTTTCTCCTTGGGCATGGCTGGTTGCTTTTCCAAGTGGGCCTCAATGGGTTCAGATGTTGTACAAGATGATTCTATTCTTCCACAAGAGTCTGTCCTTACAATGAGTTTTCCATGATCATTCCTTGTTTCCTTACCTGAAACATTAAATATATATATATACATCACTACTTATTTCATTTCTGGTGGTCAGGAAAGGGAATCTGCAAATAGGAAGAAATATTTAAATCAAGTCATGTGTATAAATTTAAAAGAATTAAAAGAAAACATTTCATGTGTATCACATGCACACAGTGCCCATGGAAACCACAGGAGTATCCAGTTCCCTGGAACTGCAGTTACAGATGTTCGGAACTGCAATGTGGTGCTGGAAACTGAAACTAGGTCCACTGCTAAAGCAGCCAGTGCTCTTAACACTTGAGCCATCTCTCTAGTCCCCACAAAGTTCTCACACACACACACACACACACACACACACACACACACACACACACACACACACGGAATGGTTTATAAGAAACTGTGATTTTGATTTTTAGTTTCTCTTGAGGAAAGGTTTCAATATGCAGAACAACGTGGCCTAATATAAACCCCTCTTCCTCAGCCTCTCAAGTCCTGAGATTTATAGTCTTGTGCCAGCTATCCAGCTTGACATCCAAGAAATAGTTAACTATGATTGGCTTGGGGGAAGGATAAAAGTCATGGTGGGAGGTAACTTACTTTAAATGTTCTAAATTGTATTATATGATATATGTCACAGACAGAAGCTACTAAGCATGACTGTATATTCTTGATCATGATTTGTCATATGGGGAACAAGAAACATAAAACTGTAAAACTGGGTCACCAGAGACAATCACAGCACAAAGGGATGGTACTTTGAAAACTGAAAATGTGTTGGCATAGTGACAATTTATCATGAGTAGAATGTAATCTTAGGAAAGTAGTTTAAGTCCTTATCAATAAATCAACAGCGCTAAGACCACAAGACCTTGAGAATAATGAATCTGCAAAAACATTACATTGTTGAAATATGAAAGCTGGGTGGTGGTGGCACATGCCTTGAATCCCAGCACTCAGGAGGCAGAGGTAGGTGGATCTCTGTGAGTTCAAGGCCAGCCTGGTCTACAGAGCGATTTCCAGGACAGGCTCCAAAGCTACAGGGAGACCCAGTCTCAAAAATAAACAAACAACAAAAGTATCTCCCTCCAAGAAGGGAACAGAGGTTCCTTAACCTACTCATATGTTGCAAGTTTTTCTAAAATACTAAACAGGAAAGAAGACAGCTGATGTAAGCTTTAGAAATAAGAATAGCCAATCATTAGTAGATACTGTTTACTGAGGGTTGGGGACTGTAATAGAATCAAAGCACAATACAAAATCCTGCCCTTTAATTGTGGAAAGAGGAAAAGAGAAGTAAGCCAGAAACTACAACCTGATATAACATAACTGTACATGTGGAACACTGACCCAGATTCAGAGGAAGGATAAAGGGAGAGCAGGGGAGTTGAAAAAGTAGGGAATATAATGAATGAGGCAGAAGAGACCTAGAAGAGAGAAACTAGAAGGAGGAAATGGGCAATGAAATAGGGCATGTCAGAAGTGCCTGTGAGTGGGAGGCACAGGACATCTTGTTATTGAACTGGGGGATAGGGGTGGGGTGCTGCATCTCTTTGTTCCTCTCCCCAACATGGCCACCATTTTTAGATGTCAAAAAAAGGAACAGCATTACCTAGTTTACTAAGGGTTTTAAGGAAGGGGAAACAATACATTTGTATTTAAGCAACAGGAAAGAAAAGAAGGTAACTTAATGGAAATATCAAGAAGACACTTTGGGATTTCAAGCCAAGACTAGTCTACATATTTGCCCAGGAAGACCCTATGTGTACACACACACACACACACACACACACACACACACACACACACACACACACACACACACACACAAAGACACTAAATGGGGAAGGGAGAAAGAAAAGGGTTGTATCACACTAGAAAGAGAAAAATACACCGATTAGAACAGTAGCAAAGGAGAACCCACAACAAAACAAAACATCTAACAAAAACAAACAAAAAAACCCACACCAATTAATCGCCCATCACTTCCATTTACAGTGACTTGAAGGAGGTAAGAACATAAGGAAGGTCCAGGTCCAGATCCACTCCTCCTTGGTGTGTTGTTGATTTAAATTGTTTAGAGTGGTTGATCTTTCAATTCTTGACTGTAGTACTGACTTAAGTTTATGGTATATACAAAAAAACTCACTGTCTAGTGAAGCTACAGTGTGGATTGTATATATAAGTTATAGCCACAACAGTTTTGATAAAATCAAAACACAAAAAGCTAAGAGTGCCAAGGCAGAGAGCACTGTGTGGTCTACAATACCTCAAATTCGAAAGGATGCCATTTAGTTCTTACCCTTCTCCTTCTCAGGCTTCTGCACCCCATGCTCAGGCAGGACCAGTTGCTGCTGCACTTCTTTGGGAGGGACTGTCCCTCCAACCAGTACAGTCTGTCTGCTTCCTTGGGTTGGCTCCTAGAGATAAGTACAGTTAATTAGGAAAATGGTTTACAAAGACCAGCTTCGGTGTTAGAAAAGAGGGGATGGCAAGGGTGAGGTGAAGCTGATACTGAACAGCAGTGAGCAGTGCCCCTCCCACTGCTGTGCTCATGTCCACCTATGTGACCTGGGGGTTCACTTCTTACTTTCCTGCAAAAGGACACCTGTACCCCTTACCTTCTGTTGTCCTGCTTCTTCACGGTCTCGCTGCAAATCTTCTAGTATTCCCACCAGGTCCTCCCCAGTCTCTGGGTGGTGCTCGAGCACCTGGACCAGCAGATCTCTTGGCAGGATGGTCAGGAACTGCTCCAGCACCAGCAGCTCCAGGATCTGCTCCTTGCTGCGGGTCTCAGGCTGCAGCCACTGTCTGCAGAGCTCCCTGAGTCGGCGTAAAACCTCTCGAGGTCCAGTGCTTTCCTCATAGCGCAGCTGCCTGAACTGTTTGCTCAATGGTTCCTGCCCAAGGCCTTTTCTGTTTCCTTGAACTTTGAATCCCTGTTCCCAAGCACAGTAGTTTTAACAGTGGCTTAAAGCACAGACTCATCTCTTTTGCTACCTTAAACTTTGAGTCAGATTTCTACTTAGCTCTGCATGCATGCATATATATAACCTAGTCATTTAAGGAGTGTCTCTCTGATAATTCACAAATAGCTTGACAGTCTCTAATTTATCTAGCCTTGCTAGTACCTCTACTCCTCTTCTTTTCTTTTCTTTCTTTGAGACAGGATCTCTCGCTGGCCTGTAGTTTGGTTTGTAAATCGGGCTGGCCCCAGAGAGATCTACCTGCCACTGAGTGCTGGGATTAAAGTCCTAAATCACAATGCACAGCTTCTAGTCCCCCTTTAAGGCTAATGTCACCAAGATAAGAATAACTAAGTCCTTTTCAAGAGACTAAGAACTTTGCCGACAGACCACCCGTGCTAGGATCCACAGGCACCAGCATTGGCTGCCTCAGCTGTAATGATTCTGTTGGAGCTAGCAGGACCTTACAGAACCAGCATGAAATAATGACTGATCAGTTTGTCCAAGACAGACTGACAAGGCTATGTATGCTATCTGCCTCTCTTCCTCTCAGCTTTTGTACATTTAATCCTGAAACTCTAGTCAGGGCCCTAAGATAGGGATTAGGGCACCATTGTCCTGTTTCTTTCCAATATGGACATGCTAAGTAATAAATTCCTTTCTTATTTCACTACCACTCCACCTCTCTCACTAGACTGAGTGGCAAGTCACTAAATTTAGTCTGTTAGGACCCCCAAGGTCAGACCTCTGATTCCATGAATAGGAATGATCCCCTCATTCATTACCTGAAGCTCCTCCTTCAGACTCAGAGGAGACAAAGAGTATGCACGCTTGCTAGGGTGAATCTGAGAAGAGGTATGTGTGGAACAGAATATGATCAGAACATGTTGAAAACTCTCAAAAGAACTTTTAAAAAGAAGAATGCACATGAATACACACTCACCAAGGCCAGTGCCATCCCTTGCTTCAGGTACTTTGTTTTGGAGAACTTTCTTTTGAGTGTATCCTGAAGGACACTCCTAAAAACAGAAGTCACAGAAACAGCAATGCTAGCTGTGATGTTATTTTGTTTATGCTCTAATAAATAAAGCTTGTCTGAGGATCAGAGAACAGAGCTAGCCATACTAGTTAGCCACAGAGGCCAGGCAGTGGTGGCACACACCTTTAACCACAGCACTCCAGAGACAGAGTCAGGTGGATCTCTGTGAGTTCAAGACTACCCTGAGCTACATGAATTTGATCCAGTATAAAAGAAAAAAAGAGCTCCCACGAAGGTGGTCCCAGCATTTGGGATCACACATCTCTAATCCCATCACTAGGGAGGTGGAGATAGGAATGATATAGCTGGAGGAACATAAGGTGCGAGGAGACAGGAGCTCATGACAGTCAGTCTGAAGCAGACTGAGGCAGCAGTCTGAGGACAGGATCACCCCTTTGGTCTGAGCATGGGTAGAGGTAAGAACTCTAGTGGCTGGTCACTTCTCTAACCATTCAGCTTTCACCCCCTAGTTTTTATTATTCCATGCTACAGCAACAAATGATCTTTTCCTTAGGATAGTTTTCTCCAAAACATTTATTCCAAAGTGTATATAAACAAAGTGAGAAAACTTTTATAAGGATACCACACAACCTAGCTACAATAGTAAGAGGTTTGAAAAAAAAAAAAAAAAATCACCAGTTTTTGTTTGTTTTCAAGATGGGGTTTCTCTGTGTAGCTTTAGAGCCTGTCCTGGAACTCCTCTGTAGACCAGGCTGCCTTGAACTCGAAGAGATTTGCCTGACTCTGCCCTCCCAAGTGCTGGGACTAAAAGGGTGCACCACCAATGCCCAGTTTGAAAAACTTCAATTTTAAACTCTCAAAATAAACAATTGAGAACCACAAGTGAATGTTAAAACCACTGGGGCAAAAGAGAGAAGAACAGAATGTTCAGTGTTAACTACCACACTGTGTAGCTGCAAACATGACCAAATGATCAAACTTAGCAATAAGATACCAACACCAACTATCTTATCACCTATGGAATACTTTTAATAATGGAATACTTTTAATAAATATTATTTATCATGAATTTACGGAGGAAACCTTTTCAGAAATCCAGAACTCTAGTCCATCTACAACAGGGATGGATCCAATTTCCCCAAAACACAGAGCTAATGACACTGGGAGGTTAATGTTCTAGATTAAGGAGATACAACTAAAGAAAACATAGGAAATTGGTGCTTGCATTAAAAACAAAACACCAAACATCTAAAACCAGGCCTATACTCCAATACTCCACAGGCTGAGGCAGAAGGCTTGCATGTTTTGAGGCCATCCTAGGCTACATAATGGGATCCTGCATTCATAAATAATGAAATTTAAAATCTACTACTAGTATTCTTATTTTGTTTGTGATATGGTCTTGCTATGTTACTCAATGCAGCCTCATATATGTAAGCTGAAACAGTCCTCTCTGTTTCAATTTCTCTCTCAAGTAACAAGGATGTGAGAGGCTTACACCACCATTTGCTATTAGGAGAGGTTGAAAAAGTCCAAGAAAGTGATGCTTATTAGCAAGTAAATGTAGTTTGGTATTATGGTGCCTAATTTACTCTTGGACACATGGTATGAAGATATTTGGTCCAACATTACTTTAGATGTTTCTGTGTTTTGGGATGAGATTTAATATTTAAATTAATGGACTGTAAACTAGTAAAACAGATTGTCCTTCATACTGCAGTGGGTCTCCCCAGATCAGGTGAAGGTCTGAGAACAAAAAGACTGATCCCCTTTCAATCAAGAGACTTCTTCTCTAACAGCTTTCCAAATCAGATACCAGTGTTTTACTTCTGCCTTCAGCTCTGGAACGAGACTTCTATTCTTCTGGGTGCTAAGCCTCTTGTCTTCAGACTTGAACTAAATAATCAACTTTTTGGTTCATAGGTGTTTGACTTTCACCAGAATTAAATCATTTGCTGTTTTATTTTTGGCATGTTAATTCCCCCTGAAGATCTTACGACTTGATAATCATGAGACAATCTTTATAATTAGTCTTTGACTTTTTTCCTATTCTTCTTAAAATAAGCATTTATTAACTATGCACAACAATGAATTTCATTATGGAGTGTCATACACATGTATTTCGATCAATTGCCCTCCACCCCCACAATGATCCTTTTCCCAAACAGTCCCCCTTCTACTTTCATTTTTTAAAATAAGTCTCTTTTTAGACAACTACTAACCAAAATATAAAAACAGGTCCCAAATATAAAAACAGGTCCCATTTCTTTAAATAACTCTAATGAAGGGGCTGAAGAGATGGCTCCGTGGTTAAGACAACAGCCTACTCTTGCAAAGGGTACCACTGAGGCCTCCCGAACCCTTGCTAGGTGGCTCACAATAAGGGCAACTTCAGCACCAGGAGGTCTGAGTACCTTTCTGGCTTCCATGGACAAGTATACTCCAGTGCACATACCCAGACACATATAGACAATTTAAAAGCCAAATCTTTTTTTTAAAGGCAGTAAGAACTCTAGTACTGGCATAACACATAAATTAGTGGTGACTCTAATTAATCAAATTACACATGTGTTTAGTAATTGGATAATTAGATGAAATATATTATTAAATAGATAAGTAATTATATTAAAAATGTGATTAAATTTAAGAACACAATACACTGTAGTTTAACCTGTCTTTGGGAAGGTCCAGCTACCTTGAGATTTAAGCCAGAAAACTGACCATTCCTTCCTCCTCCTTTCATACTGTTTGTATATAATTAATCAAGTTGCTTTTAAAAAAATTACATGTCTGGGTGTTTTGCCTGCATGAATGTCTGTGCATCACTTGTGTGCCTGAAGAGAGCCAGAAAAGGGTGTAGATCTCTTGAAACTGGAGTTATCTACCAATGGTTGGGCTGCCATGTGTGTGCTGAGAATTGAATCTCAGTCTTCTAGAAGATTGGCTAGTGCTCTTAACTGCTTTGTCATCTCTCCTACAGTTCCCAGTTCTTTTGATTCTACAGCTTCATATCCCTCAAATACATCCTTCTTGTAGTTTCTTGATGACAAGGTCTCCCACTTGGACTACTGTAAATCAGCAATCCTCAACCTGCCAGTCTTGACTCCTTTGGCAAAACAGTTACACTACAATTTAGAATAGCAGCAAAATTAAAGCCACAAAGAATCAATGAGAATAATTTTATGGTTCGAGGTCACCTTAACATGAGAATTGTATTAAAGGGTTGCAGCATTAAGAAGGTTGAGAACCACTGTTCCATCTGGTCTTCCTGACATCAACCTATTTCCCACAGTGCAACTGTGATCTTCCTAAGGAGCAAATGAAGCATAGCTCCCTTGTGCATGTTGCACATAATGACTTGCCATCACCACTAAGATCAAGTTTAAAACATTTAATATGGCCTAAACTTTTCTTAAGCTTTAATGAATGGGTTCTTATAAATCTCACTCTTATATGGAAAAAACCTTAAATGTTTTTCTTCTTATTAATGACCAGTCAGTCACACCTCATGTCTCAGCATAATAAACAAGCTGAAAGAGTTTCTCCACCTGCTTTTCACTCACTAATTCAATCTCCATAGAAACCCATTAAGAACTACTTTTAACCTTGTACTGCAGACAAAACCTGACATGGAGAGTTGAGGAATTGACACAAGGTCTTAAGGCTGAGCTTCATATCTTTTGATTAAAAAAAAAAAAAAAAAAAAAAAAAACAAACAAACAACAACAAAACCAAAAAAACCCCACAAAAACCAAAACAGAAAACATCAAAAAAAAAAAAAAAAAAAAAAAACCCAACCAAAAAAACCCCAAAACCTGTTTTTAACCCATAGACTTAAAATTTTGAATTTATTTTTCCTTTTCTGCTGTGTGCATCTGATCCAGAAGCCAATGCTGTGGGCTCCATCCAGCCCCAACGCCCACAACAGTCTACACTTCCCACCAGAATTCCTGCCAATTTTCCTCTAAGGGTCTCACTCTGTAACCACTAAAGGCAATCCTCCTGCCTCAGTATCCCAAGTGCTAGGGTTATAGGTATTAGCTATTTCATTTCTGTCCGCCCTCCCATCTATTCCTATTGTGGATTTCCAATTAACAAATGTTTCTCCCCAAAACCAAGTTCCTCACACACCAAGTGCCCAGGTTTCCTTCCCGGTAATATTATTGACTGCGCTCGAAAACATCCTGGTGACCTTGTTATTCCCTAAATAAGGGAAACAATCTCCAGCTTTCGGGCCTAATGTGTTCGCTGTTCTCTCGCGCATGCCTCTTAAAGCCACCTACGTCTATCCATCTATCTCCGATTATCTACTCAAATATTCTGTTTACTTACAGTGGAAACTACTTAAACATGCAGCAGAAGCCATGTGTGGCAGCGCCAGCCTATAAGCTCAGCGCTTGGTTCAAATCAAGGGTATCCTCCGCCAAAGGAGTGAGGCCAATATGGGCTTTACGAAACGTCCTCAAAACTAAAAACAACCAACAAAATAAAACCGACAGAAGCCAGGCGTGTTGGCTCACGTTTGTAATCCCAGGCAGGAGGATATTCAGGAGTCTGAGGTCAGCTTAAGCCATACCGTGCGTTCCAGGAAAAGCACGAAAATGCCTCAACAACAAACTGCGAGCTTACTACGTCCTCAGCTTCATCCCTCTCCCACGCCCGAGAACCGTAGCTTCCGCCACGCACCCTTCCTGGATTTCCCAGCTCCGAGGTGTGGATCGCTTCCGTGTGCCAGCCAGACACGCCGCTCCAGAGGCCCAAGGTTGCCGTTCTGACCCCGCTGGAACCCGATCACCTTACGTCCTCTCGCCCTGGCCGCAGGGTCAGTCACATGTCCCCTCAGTGGTCCAGCCCTGTAGCTTCCGGCTCCACTCTAGGACGGTGGGAGGACCATGACTCGACTCTGTGGTGCCCTATCTGGGTTTAGTTGAAACATTCCATTTACACGAAACAGGCCACTTCATTGGACTATTTTCACATACAGCGTCATTTCTTACGGGAACAGTAAGACTCTCACTGTAACTCCTGCCACCAAGAAATGGAGACAGGAATAGACTCTTTAAGTTGGGCTTTAGTCAAACGCTGGCATGATCATGAAGGCTTCCAAAGAAGCCACCTTAATACCCCACCTCAAACCAGAAGTTTTCTAGCGAGGCAAACTAAGTTAATCATTAGTGCTCAAGTTAATTCTTTGTCCCCCACCTTTTCACTACCGAGTTCCAAAGACTCCTATCTGTGTCTCCCCTCTTGTTTGACTTCTGAACCTAGGCATCCAACAATGCTTAGTCTGGTTAATGTCCCATGGTGTCAGATATGAGCTCTGCAGTCCCCTAGGCCAATGGGATGTAAGGTTAACTCAGAACAAACACAGCATTAAGATGGCTTGTGTGCAGATTAACTCAAAACAAACGAAAACATTTTGTTTAAGTACAGAGTCCTTCCTATAGTGTCTGATACAAAGTCCCCTACCATCGTCCTCTCCCCACCATTCTCCATTATTATCCATTGACTTCGATAAATGGGATACAGTCTGAGGTTCATCTCCAATCATCAGAGTGAGAACTCCCAATAGGAATCCACCTCTTTCATGAACAACTGAAAAGACTTTCGCAAGCTTGTAATTTCTACAGCAGGCACAGATGTCAACACCCTCCTTAAGCCCATAAATATTCCTGGGCCCATTCAAAACTTCCTAACAGGTTTAACTGTGAGATAAAAATTTGGGATCAAATTCTACAGTAATCTGACATGCCTTGGAATACTTTCAATTGCCTGAGAATTGAAATGGTTTCTCCATTTGTCTAATTGTCTGTTAGTGCTTTCCAAACAGTCTCCTCTTTCCAGGTTGGAGGAAGAAACCCAAAAATTTCTTAGCCTGCTGACAGATTTGGGCCTTGCAGGCTAATAGTCTCCTGGTTTCTAGTTACCAGAAAGTCACTGACATCCTGCTGTAACATGTCCCCCTTCAATATTAGGGCTTTAAATCTTAACTAGTAGATGGTCCAGAGATTAAGAGCTTCTGGGCTTTTCTGGAGGACCCAGTTCACAACTGTTTGATTTTTAGCTTACAATAGCCTGTAACTCCAGCTGCAGGGTATCCAGTGGTTCTTCTCATGCCCTGCAGGCTTGAGAAAACTCCCCCCCTCTCTCTCTCTCTCTCTCACACACACACACACACACACACACACACACACACACACGCACACACACACACACACACACTTTAGAAAGAAAACTGCTGCCTCTTGACCCAGCATCTATAAGGATCACTTAACCACACCATCCTCCTCACTCCACCTAATCCCCAAAATTGTTGAGTCTGGGTCCTGCCACTCAAAAATGTCTTGGGGAATGTGGCTCATCAGACTGTACTTGCAAAGAGCCGAGTGCAAAGCTTGCAAAACATCAAGAACTGCCTTGAGATCTTATACAAATGCACTCATGAGAGTGGGGCTTCTCCATTAGGCATACATTGGTAATGTGTGAATATATTACAGATAAGTCCTATTTCAGAAAATAACCTAATCCTATTTCTAAAAATTTTAAATTACCATACTGTTTCTTTTTCTGTGCCACTGGCCCTCAGTTAGTTCAGACTTCATGATTTATCTCGGATAGAATTTCACCAGGCCATACCCAGCAGACACTTTTTCCAGAATGAGATACTGGGAGTGTTCCAGAGGAACCTGAAGACGCGGCTGCTGCTAGTCTTCGTGGTGGGGTGGGGGGAGTTTAGTTGGCTGTACTTGGTGGTATCTGGGGATTTGGAATATAGGGGAATTTGTGTGTTAGCTAAGTTCATGGGCAACATGCTTGCTGAAGATCTTTATAATTGTTTTAAATTATTTTATGTATGTGTAGGAGTTTTGTTTGCATGTCTGTCTATGTATCACTTGCTGCCTGGTGCCTATAGAAGCCAGAAGACATCATCAGATTCCCTGAGGTACAGGTGATTGTGAGCTACCATGTGGGTAATATGGATCCAGCTTGGGAAGAATAGACAGTGCTCTTAACCACTGAGCTGCCTCTCTAGCTCTACATTTTGAAGGTCTTCTAAAACCTTACTGTTATTTCCTCAACTAGTGCTTTGATTCCAAAAAGGCCTTTCTTCTCGGAAGATAATGGAGGGTCTGACTCTTCCTACACTCACAGTTTTACACTGTAGGACAATATCAACGGAGAGGGGGTCATGTCCATACTCTTTCCTACCTTTTAAACTTCTTTCTAATGTCAGGGATACTTTGTGAAACATAGATCATATTCACATCACATTTTCCAGGACTTTAGGATCCATATTGGCAATTGCTGATATAATTCAAAAAGTTGCTTCAAGAATTTGGATGTTCTTCATTGGATTTTTTGTTGTAATATCAGAACTATGCTCAGTCCTAGATTTGGGATCTCTTTCCAAGTCCTTTGAGGATACATCTTCAATACCTTCCTGAATGGCTGTTGCCTGTTTCGATTTAAATCCAGTTGTCTTCGAGGCTGGGGGCTGGAGAAAGAGGGCTGGCCAGGTTGTTTTGGTGCAGTGAGTATCTCTACATGGGGAATGGGCTCCCGAAGTCCGTTCATGCACTATGGATACATACTGGTTCCATTGCTAGAGGCCCCATAGACTGCCCAGTCCTCCTAACTGACACCCATGTTCAGGGGGGCCTGGTTTGGTCCTATGTTGTTTCCCCAGCTGTCAGACTGGTATATATGAGTTCCCACTTGCCCAGGTCAGCTGTCTCTGTCCCAGTATGGTCTTGACCCTTTTGTAAGTCACTCCTCCCCTCTCTACAACTGGATTCCAGGAGTTCTGCTCAGTGCTTAGCTGTGGATCTCTGCTTTTGCTCCCATCAGCTACTGGATGAAGGCTCTAGGATGGCATTTAAGGTAGTCATCATTCTTATTATAGGGGAAGGACTCTTAAGGTAGCCTCTCCACTATTGCTTAGATTCTTAGTCTAGTCAGTGTCATCCTTGTGGATCTTTGTACAATTCCCTAGTGCCAGATTTCTCTGTAAACATATAATGGCTCCCTCTATTGATGTATCTCTTTTTTTGCTATTCATCCTGGACTCAGTCCCTCATTTTCCCCTCCCCCCTCCTCTTCTCCCCTCCTCTTTCTTCAAGCTTCTTCCCTCTTCTCCCCATGCTCCCAATTTATTCAGGAGTGTAGGGGACACTTCTTATATAAAGCAAAAATAAATACATTGTCAACCCAAGATCCCCTTTGATGGTAAAGTATTAAAAGCACCTCTGTAAGAATCTAGCTGAACTTGATATATGGGGAGTTTATCTTTTTGTTTTCCAAAGATTCATGTGCTTATGGCTTCATTCCAAGTCTGAGGTATTAGTGTGTTGTGTGAAAACTTTCATGAAGGGTCTAATTGAAGAAATCTAGGTCACCAAGGGCATGCATGCCCTTCAGGAAATACTAGGACCTCAACTCATTTTTGTTTCCTGGCTGCCATGAAGTGAACATAAGTCTGCCAAATGTTCCCTGCCACAAAGCCCTGCCTGTCATAGGCCCAAAGCCAGAGATCTTTGAAAGTGAGTCAAAATAAATCTGTTCTACTTCTAAGCCACCAAAACCTAACAGAACATTTGTAACGAGGTGTAGACTTGCTGTAAGTATTCCTGATGATGTGGTACAGAAGCTTTTGGAATTACTTTGATGGGGGAAGGAGCAGGGTTAGGTTTGGAAAACCAGGCCCTCTTGTGATGATGTTTTGCCTGCCACAGGCCCAAGACAAGCATTTTGCCAAATCTGGGCCAGCAAAATGGCTCAGAGGGGTAAATGCACTTGTTGCCAAGCCTGACAACATATGTTCAGTCCCTGAAACCTGCTTTTGTAAGGAAAAAGTAAAACTTATATGCATATACACATACAAAATAAATAAATGTAAAAAAAAAACCAAACAGAAATATTGCCAAGTCTGTTCTTTTGTTTTTTTTTTTTTTTTTTTTTTTTTTGAGAAATCATGACCCTTTGCCTCACAACTCTTTTAAGGCAGAATTACCGGCCAGGTCCTTCTATGATGGCAACATTCCATGGTGAGTAAGCTGTGGGTATTTAGAAGCTGTAGCTGCTCAGCTGGTTCATTTTCTCAAGCAACAAAGACAAAGAACAGAAAAACAAGTAAAAAGAAAAATGACAGAGAAATAGTTGCAAGACCGTTGATAAGAAGTTAACTTTTTATTACTTTAAGAACTTTTATGATGAATAAGAAATCTAACATTCCCCAAATAAAATGGCCAAACATTAGTGTGAACACTTTACATACATACAAGAACTACATAAAAAGATGCTTAACTTTACTCTTGAAAAGGGAAAATAAAATTAACAGTCAAAAGTCACGTTAATTGACCAGAAAAACAAAGACATAAAGCCTTTTTGAAAAAGTACAGTGTTGGTGGTGATGTTGGTCAATCTTCCTAGGAAGCATCAATGTAGTAGCATCTACTAAAACTCAAAAGCATGGAGATTAAATGTGATGTTTATATTTTCACTTAAAACTATCCCAGAAAAGCCAATTTCTTAGATTTCTAGCCTTATTTGTTTTCATGGTGTGATGTAATTTATAATTACCTTCTTCTAGTTTGATCCCATTGATCATAAATTCTATGGTGGCAGTGGTTAAGGCTAACTTACAGATTTGTCCACAGTACTTACAATACACAAAGCACTGTTTTCCTCTTTACTCAATAAATATTTGTACAGAAAAAATACCTTTCAAGGCTGGTTCTCACAGTTGATGAAAAGGAGTGGCCATACTCTACTTCTGAAAGCCTCCACAGTCCTTGC